CTACCTCTCATTCCATCCTGATGATCCGACGATAGCTGCTCGCATCTCAGCTTGTCTAACAGACATTTCTTGCTGGATGAAGGACCATCACCTTCAACTCAATCTTGCCAAGACAGAACTGCTTGTGGTTCCATCAAACCCATCGTTTCATCACAATTTCACCATCCAGTTAGGCACATCAACCATAACTCCTTCAAAAACAGCCAGAAACCTTGGCGTTATGATTGATGATCAGCTGACTTTCTCAGACCACATTGCTAAAACTGCAGATTTACTTTATTCAACATCAAGAAGATCAGGCGCTTTCTTTCGGAACATGCTTCACAACTCCTTGTTCAAGCTCTTGTTCTGTCCAGGCTGGACTATTGCAATGCTCTCTTGGCAGGTCTTCCAGACAATTCTATCAAACCTTTAGAATGAATCCAGAACGCGGCAGCAAGATACATTTTTTATGAGCCAAAAAGAATGCACGTAACACCTCTGTTTATCAATGTGCACTGGCTACCAATAGCTGCTTGCATAAAATTCAAGGCATTAATGTTTGCCTACAAAACCACCACTGGCTCTGCACCCCTTTACCTAAATTCATTACTTCAGAGTTATGTGCCCTCTAGAAGCTTGTGTTCTGCAAGTGAATGTCGATTTATTGTGCCATCTCAAAGGGGCACAACATCACTTGCACGGACTTATAAATTAAATGTTCCCTCCTGGTGGAATGACCTGCCCCAACTCAATCTGAGCAGCTGAGTCCTTAGTCATCTTCAAGAATCGACTAAAACACATCTCTTTCATCTTTCTAACTCTAACTCTAGCACTCTCTATTCTACTTCTATTTTAAAAAAACTAACACTAGCTTTTCTAATCGTTTTGTATTCTATCTATTTGTTTTCTTTTTATTTATTATACAATTATCAAAAGCAAAAAAGGCCTCTAATACTAGCTTGCTCTATTCTTTTTCTATTCTATCTGTTTTTCTTTTTATTTATTATATAATAATAAAAAAAAACTTGCTACGTGTGCTGCATTAAGCTAACTGAGACTTGTTATAGCACTTGCATATCATTGCTCTTTTGTTGATTTTGATTGCTTCCATTGTCCTCATTTGTAAGTCGCACAAATGTAAATGTAAATGGTTAATGGCCTTGTTAAGTCATATTATTATGTTCCTGCAGTGGCAGTGGGATTCAGTAGATGATTATAGGGCCCGTGTGCATTGCTGGTTTCTGGTTTTAGCCGGTTGTTTACTCTCCTGTAATTCATTGAGTTCTGATTCATCATGACTCTTCTCTGCCCTGCTCTGTCTCTATCTCAAGTCCTCTCAACTATCTCCTGCCACATTAGCAACAGCTGAAATAACTTAAAAAAAATATATATATATTTTTTCCAAGTAAATTTTTTATGGTTTAGTTTCATTTAACCAATAATAATGCTGGCCCAGATGGTACCAAAGTATGTAACGCTCAACGTTTCTTATAAAATTCCTTGAATTAAAAAAAACAATCTTCCTGTATGTTAACATTTAACTTTTTATTTTTCCTAATAAATCTGAGACAAACTTGATACTTAAAGGAATAATTCTCCAATTCTGTTATCTCCTCACCCTCATGTCATTCCAAATCGGTATGCACTTTTTCTTCTTCTGTGTATTTCATCCATACAGTAAAGTCAGTTGGGTCCAATGTTGGTTTGGATCCTACTGATTTTCATTGTGTGGACAAAAATGGTTAAAACATTCTTTAAAATATCCGTTATTTAAAGAAATTGTTTTCCACAGAAGAAAGAAAGGGTTACAACAACATGAGGGGAGTAAAGGATGAAAGAACATCATGAACTCTATTAAATCCCTTGAACTAAGACACAGCAACCTCTGAGCAATAACATTTTCTTCTGGGCACTTGTCAACAGAATCAAGACAAAAGCAAGGATACTGGATGTGAAAAGAAAGAACGCTTAATCTTTATATATACATAATAGATTAATTATATTAGGAGTGTGTGTATGCTATCACTGTAGTGGTATAATATTGCTGATTCATCTAGTGAGGCACTGGCAGATAATGGTAGATGAATGGAGGGTAGCCAGACTCTGCTGGCTGCCCATGGGGTAGTAATTAGCCATCGTGATTATAGTGATGTTTACACACCGCAGATGGAAATGTCAACACTGACATTTCTCATCATCACAGATATGGGACACAATTAACAACTGTGTGCAGTTCTGTGGGATTTTAAGACATCTCTTAATTTTGCCTCTAACCTACGTGTGGCTTTAAAAGCTTGCTGTTCGTCGCTCAGATGCTTTTATGTCATTATGTTCCAGTGTAAAGTACTGGTCAGTGGGAGTGGAGGGGATCATATATATCCAGGTTTCATTTAATTCGAACTGTGACAGTGTGATTAGAAACCATCAGGGCTGGTGGTATGATTACATTTTTAATGAGCGTTTGAGATCAGGGTTGGGGGTGGCCGCCTGCTCCCTGTGCCATTTCCTGCGACAGAATGAGTTGTGGGGCTTGTTTGCTGCTGTGAATATTGCTTTGGAAACTTATTTGACTGGAATATAATTTTCTTCATCATGCAGTCTCTCTGTCTCTACATGTTCCCTTTCATTTTACTTTGGGATGAAGCTGCTTTCATTTTCCTTGCATACTGATTTGTCATTTCATTCTCATAGTAAAATGACTGAATTGAAAATCAGTCAGTATAAAAATAATTTAGGCCTACTTTGCATCCAGGCCATCATGCATCTAGAGTGAGCTTTAGTCACAGATCATTCTGTAGAAAGTAAAACAAAGCCTACACAAAAGAAAGTAAAGAAAATCAAGCATAAATTAATAGTTTAGACAAAATTCTAATTCTGTCATCATTTATTTACCATCATGTCTTTCCAAACCCATAGGATTTTCTTTCTTTGATGGGAACACAAGACATGCTTAGCAAAATCTCCAGGTTACTCTTTTTGAAAGTAGCCTGTACATTTCTTCTGAAGGTGTACAATAGCTTTATGAGAGGAACTGGCTGAAATTTAAATTGTTATTCTCTGAAATGCTCCCCTATATGCTTCATTTTTAACTCATTTACACTTGTATTTGCATCGGGTTCATTTAGTTTCCACAAAAATATAAAGCAGCACAACTGTTTTCAACATTGACAATAATAAGAGCTGTTTCCTGAGCAGCAAATAAGCATATCAGAATGATTTCTGAAGGGTCATGTGATAATGAAGAGTGGAGTAATGGCTGCTGAAAATTCAGCTTTGCCATCACAGCAATAAATTACAGTTTAAAATACTGAAATAAAAAACAGTTATTTTAAATGGTGCAAATATTTCACAGTATTACTGTTTTTGCTGTATATTTTATTGTTGCATGTTCCCTGTCTTTGGACTTTTATGTTGAAGTTGTTCCTATTGTTTCTGTGTTCACTCCCCGTGGTTAGTTCCTGTTTGCATTGTGCTGTTTGTTACCATGGTTACCCTTGTTTGTTGCTATAGTGATAAATCTGTCTCACCTGTTACTTGTTAGTCCCTCGTTACCCATTGTGTTTAATCAGCGCTAATTTTTCACTTGTTGTAATTGTGCCTTTCTGCTCGTGTTTTTTTCTTGTTGTTTGTTCCCTTATGCCAGTTCACACTGCACGATTTTAGCCCGATTTTTCACTCGCCGACAGGTTTTGTGAAATCGCCGACAAATGCCCGACATCGGAGGCAAATCGGTGCTTGTGCACGTGAGTGACAATCACGCAGTGTGAATGATCAAAGACGCGATCTGAGGGAATCGCTGATGCGTCGCCGACGCCCGCAAAATATTTGGCATGCTAAATATCTGGAGCTGTCGCCGATTCACAATCACGCAGTGTGCAATGATTTCTGACTGAAAAACACATCGGCGATGACCTACAGCCAATGAGAGACCAAGATACAGGGCAGCGGGAAGTTCATGCGGGTTCTCGCATTATTTCCTTATCACTTCTCGCGTGTGTTTTGTTTTGAAACGTAGTTTGTGGACCAGACAGAGCTGTCGGCGATTCTCCCTGACAGTGAAGTCATGCAGTGTGAAACCCCCTGTCGCCGATCCATCGTGCAATGTGAACACAGCAGCAACTGACTGCTACCCCAGATAGTCACACAGTGTGAAAACAACGGCGATACGACGAGTTTGAAAATCGTGCAGTGTGAGCTCGGCATTAGTCATACTAATAAATGCACTGCATATAGATCCACGTCCTTGCCTGCTTACATTTTTCAAATAAATGTTTAATAAAAAATAGTGCAATTCAGAACATTCATTCTTGATGTGATCAGTCACTAGACATATGAGAGCCGATTATATTGAATGTAAATCGTTGTGAAACCTGGTACATTATGTTTTGGGACACCTTGTTTAAAGGAGATTTGAAGGGACGATTTTCAGTGAATAACAACTTTAAATTTCATACAGAGCTTATTGTATTGTCACTGTAATTAAGCTTTTTTCTCCTTTTTGATATATTGCGGATTCTGTAAACAACTACTTTTAGTAGAAACAGTCATAGAGCTACGAATGACATGATGATAAAATTAATAAATACATGATAAAAAGAATATTCTGCTTATTGAATAAACTAAAGATCCTCTCATTAGTTAGTGTGTATTTAGAAATGTGTTAAAGTGTGAGACCTTTTGAACCTATTTGATGGTCTGTGTGTCCACTGCTCTTTCATTTCACCTGCTCGTGTTTATCTATGTTCTCTCTTCGGCACGAATCCATTTAGGCTGGTCAAAGAGGACTGATGAATACAGCTTCAGATGAAAACAGCTGCTGTGTTTGTATGGATGTGCATCTCTGTGAATTGTTAAGAGATTTTAACCTGAGCTTTAGACTGGTTTATCTCTCAGGCATTTCAGTCTGCCACACCAGAGACTAGGACACGAATAATGGACTAGAGGAGGAGATTAAAAAGTGACACTCTGATATTGGCAGAGAAGGAGATTGTAAAGATTATAAACAGAACAGAGGAGAGGAAGTGCCATAAAGTGCTGGAGTCAGATGAGAGAGCCTAATTTCGAGACTGTCACAAAGAACAGCTACAAAAGAGAACAAAAAGTGATACATTGGACAGATGAAAAGACAGGATGAGGAAAGAGGGATGAGGATGAGAAAACAGCTGATGTTGTTCCAGAGCCCTGCCCAGCTCTCAATGAGCACAAGTGCTCCATCAGTGAGGGTTTCCATGGCTACACAGGCTTTCCCCCGACCCCATCTGAGCAGATTCACAAGATTAGTCCTAAGAGAGCTTCAGTATCTGCTCTGCAGGCACTGCCACGTAGTGCAGTGTGTCTCAGCCTGTGTGTCTCTCAGTCCACCCTTTATGTTCCATCTCACTGTCCTTCTCTGTCTGAATGTTCAGTTTGATTACATATTTAAAGGTTTTCACAAATGATCTAGATTTCTGGATTTTTAGATTTCTAGTTGTCTAGACTTGGACTGGTCCGTTTCAGTATTCTGCAGCCAAATGTATTTGTATAATTACAGCTTAATTGTATACAGTTCATGTGCAATTTTCATGTATTGGTCATCTCACACAATTAAATAATTGCTTCTCAAATAAAATTTTTTTTATGTATTTGAAAGTACACATATATAAGAGTTATAATGTACAGACAGCCAGCCTTTATCACAAAATAAATCCATTTAGGAACCCTCCATTTCACATTTGGGTCTCATGGATAGTTTTGCGGTAATGGCCGGCTGACTGTACACTATCCCTTATATATTATATAATAATGCAGTATGCTTGTATATGTACACTACCATACACGATATAACCAACCCAGCATATGTCCTCTGGCAAATATTATTTCTGGAAAGAGTAATATGCTCGGTAGTACCACCTAGTGGACAAAAGTTCATTTAAACAAGTATCTACATGGGAATTGATTTGGACAGTTTAAAGGGGTCATATGATGCGATTTCAAGTTTTCCTTTCTCTTTGGAGTGTATGTCAAGGAGACGCTGTGTGTTTCAAGTTTCAAGTTTGTTTGGTCTTCCAAAAGAGGACACAACTAGAAATCAGTGGTTAAGTTGTATTTACGACACTGTTCCAGAACAGTTCAAACCAAATATTCAGATGTGTGCAGCACATTTTACGGAGGACTGTTTCCTGATCCTGGGAGAGTAGACTACAATGCCGGCTGTTCTGACTCACAGCCTGTAAAGTGGTTAAGTTGTATTTACGACACTGTTCCAGAACAGTTCAAACCAAATATTCAGATGTGTGCAATGCATTTTACGGAGGACGAGGACTGTTTCCTGGGAGAGTAGCCTACAATGCCGGTGTTCCGGTGAATTCAGTTCCCCTGTTTCCCGTTCGGCACGCATGCTGACCCTATACAGTCTATGATGCTGACAAATAATGCTGACTCACAGCCTGTAAGTACGTTTTCATATTTAAAGGGGAAAAAGACAGTATAAGTAATTATAATCAGTAATTATGTCCCTACTGGATGCAACAAATGCCTTGTTTAATGGGTTTTATTGTTTTTGTCTCATTGCACCGGGACACGGCCTCACAGTATGGTAAGGAGTGTAACATTTCCGTCACACGCTTGAGGTATTCGGCCAATCACAACGCACTGGATAGCTGGCCAATCAGAGCATATCTCGCTTTTCAGACCGATGAGCTTTGTAAAAATCTACGCGTTTCAGAAAGGCGGGGCATAGAGGAGAAACAATAATGTACAGTATGTGGAAAATAATGTGTTTTTTTAACCTTAAACCGCATAAACACATTTCATTACACAAAATACACAAAATAATGTTCTTTTTTTTAGCAACGTCATATGACCCCTTTAAAAATGTTTTGTTGAACTTTGTTCTTTGCTTCAGACGAAGTCAGTCTCTCTCATACAGCGAGAGCACCCGTAAGATGCCCAAAGTCCCAAACTTCTCGCTTCAGGCTGTCAGACACTTGTGGATCCACACTGCACTCATTGAGAAAGTGCTGGACAAGATTGTACTGTACCTGGTGGAAAACAGCAGGTGAGAGAGGTGGGATAGAGATATAAAGAACAAGCAAGCTTGACCCGTTTCTTTCAGGTACAATCAAACTTGCCAGCTTGCTTTATGATAAATTGAAGTTACTTTTAATGTTGTTTCAGTAAGTTTTACGAGAAGGAGGCTATCCTAATGGATCCTGTGGACGGCCCTATCCTCGCCTCTTTGTTAGGTAGACATGCTTTTTAAAAAAAATAATTTTCATTCTTAATGCCACAGGTCATCTGGTGACATATTGTCATTTATGCTGTTTTAAAACCTTGTGAAATCAGTGATAAGCTCAATAGAAAAAACAAAGCTGGTGGACAAGATAAATATTACATACTGAAAAGTAAAATATTTACTGAAAAAAAATATCTATATATTATGTTATTTTAGATTATCCACTAGTTAAGTTTAAAGGGTTGGTTCACCCCAAAATGAAAATTCTGTCATTAATTACTCAATCAAGAGAAGAAATTGTTGAATAAAGTTGATATTTTAGTTTTCTTTGCATACAAAAAGTATCCTTGTAGCTTCATAACATTACGGTTGAACAACTGATGTCACATGGACTATTTTTTCAATGTCCTTACTTCTTTTCTGGGCCATTAAACGTTTCAGTTGCATTGCTGTCTATGCAGGGTCACAAAGCTCTTGGATTTCACCAAAAATATCTTAATTTGTGTTCCAAAAATGAATAAAGGTCTTACGGGTTTGGAACGACATGTGGGCAAATTAATGACATAATTTTAATTTTTGGGTGAACTAAGACTTTAATATTTTACACAATGTTTTTGTTCTACCTATTTTTATGCTTATATAGTACCAGGCCATTAGCTTAGCAACATGATAACCATGTAGAGCACTAATTGTGTGGCACAGAGTTGCTGCCCATGTGGAACATTTCAAATCATTCACTAATGAAGGGCCTTGATGGCTAGGAGGCTGCCTTAGAATGCAGCTGCCTATTTAGGGAGGCAGCACACTAGGTTTTGGTACGGAGCTATTTTCTCTTATTGTTTCTTTTTTATTGCTGGCATTGTGAAGATAATCTGTTTTCCACTTTATTTCACCTTTAGTGGGTCCCTGTGCGTTAGAGTACACTAAAATGAAGACGGCAGATCATTTTTGGACCGATCCTTCAGCTGACGAGTTGGTGCAAAGGCATCGTATTCACAGTGGTCACTGCCGACAAGACTCACCTACAAAAAGACCTGCTCTCTGCGTGGGTGACCTGTGATTGTAGAAATGAGTTTAACACCTTTTTTTTGTAGGTTGAAACACTTTATCTTATCCCAGTTTATACTGTACAAGTAAATGTGCATTTCTCTTTGGTGCTGTGCAGAAATTACATACATCACCTTCAAAATTATTATGTGCAGGGTGATATATTGATCTTAGCATTCTGGGTTATGGCACTTTACACCAAGAATTCATAAACACTGCAATATTTAAAATGATGTGTTCCTAAAAAGGTCAAGAATGAGAGCTAATTTTATAAAAACATTAATATTTTCAGTCTGTTCGCATTTGGCAAAATTAGATAAATTGAAAGCTCTTGTGCGTCTGAACGAGATGGTTCCAAGTGCCATTTCAAAATGAAAGTTCAGGTCATTTGAAATTCCCTTGATGTTTTCAACTGTGCCTCAAGGAAATGTCAGGGGTCACAAGCAGTTTATAGTCAGTCAATTGCATGTCACATTGAAGTCATAATATATAGTGACAGCCAATTAGGCTTGTTTTTCAGTATTATGCACCAGTGTTTTCAACATCTTGTGTAATTTGGTTAGTTTTCAATGCATGACAGTTGAGCTTGTTTAGGATGTTGCACATAATTTTTTTACACAACATACTGCATAACATAGATAAAGCAAAGGCAAAATAAATGACATCTGAATATTTCAGAGCAAGAGCTTTTAGTTTGTGTATTTGATCTTGTTCAGTGAGGTTTTAGCCTTTGAAATCAGTGCAGTTCACTCCATCACAGACCTCTGAAGAGGGTGGTCCATAAGAGTCATGCTGCGGTCAGTGTATTTGAGTGTAGTTGCTGTTTCTGAGGAGAGTATGAACCTCCACTCAAGAGATATGTTTCACATCATTACCCAGCTCCATTACCAAACGCAGTCGTCAGATTCCTGACTGATCACCCTCTCTGGCCATTGCCAACACCCACACAACAGCAGGACACACAGCGCTTGTTTTTCGTCTCTGATAGATCTGACTGTACTGCACTCCGGGCTTGTTTTCTGATGTATTTTTATTACAAATATCTGCTAGTGATCTGAATTCCTTTTTGTACAGGCTGTGTCATGGCTTCCATATTAAGTACATCAGGATGATTCAGATATTAGATACTGTTAAGAGAGGAATTGTTTTGCATGGTAAAGAGGATTTCACTATGTGCAAAACATCATGTATTTAACCTAGTAATAGGTGATAGCAAGAGACTGTGTCATTTAAATGTCAATGAACATATCACATTATTTAATATTAATTCCATTGTGTATGTATTTTTGTCTGCAGTGGACTGTGGGGGAACAGTGGTTCTGGTTAGTCAGGATGGGATTCAAAGGCCTCCGCTTCGTTTTCCCCGCGGTGGTCACCTCCTACAGTTCCTCTCCTGTCTGGAAAATGGTCTGCTGCCTCATGGCCAGTTAGACCCTCCGCTTTGGTCCCAAAGAGGAAAGGTTAGAAATTGATCTGTACAACATTTAATGTTACTATAGACCTTCCTCCAATATACACACTTGCTCTAATTTCAGAATATGTCAAATATGTACAGATTGACAATTGTTTGTTCTTCCATTAGGATTATAGCTTTTCAGCATTTGTGGACCAGTAACATTTTGAAATGCTGAGTGTAAAACTGCCATTATTTGACTATCTGAAATTTTGCCCAAAGTAGAAGTATTTTTATTAGTATCCTCTGTTTTAGTCTAAGACAACTTGGTTTGATATGACCCTTAAATCACAGTGTTTTTAGCTTTTTTTTAAAAAAATCTTTTTACAATTACTTCATACATTACACTCAGTACATTACACGTGCAATAAGATTTAGTTTTTTTTTATTAAAGAAATCAATGCTTTTATTTAGTGAGGATGCCTTAAATTAATCAAAAGTGACAGTAAAGACGTGTTTTAAAACATTTCTTTGACAATTAAATGCTGTTCTTTTGAAGTTTTTATGCATCAAAGAATCATGGTTTCCGCAAAAATATTAAGCTGCACACCAAATGATTTCAACATTCATAACAATAAGAAATGTTTCTTGAGCAGCAAATCAGCACTGAAGACTGGAGCGATGGCTGCTGAAAATTCAGCTTTGCCATCACAGGAATAAAAAAACATTTTAAAATAAATTAAAATAGAAAACATTCTTTAAGTTGTAATTATATTATACAGTTTTCATTGTATTTTTTGAGCAAATAAATACAGCAGTGGTGAGCATAAAATACTTATTTCACAAACAAACGCCATGCTTCGCTGTTTAAGCTACAGGTTCAGGATGCTATGCAGATTTTTATTGTAAGATCAATTACAATCTCTTGCTGTGCTGTAATTTGTATGTCTTAATTGATCAATCCTTCAAATGCAATTCTTTGTGTGTTACAAATAAATTATGAATGGGGTAAATATTTTGCCATTAATTGTGCATAATTACGTTCTACACTGCGCATTGCTTGTCATCTGCAGTCATTGCATCTTGAACTGATGCTTCACTTTCCTTTTTCCAGGGTAAAGTATTTCCTAAGCTAAAGAAGAGATGTCCACAGGGATCCTCAGACTCTGTCTCAGACAAAGAAGAGGAAGAAGCAACAGATTATGTCTTCCGCATTGTTTTCCCAAACAGCCAGTCAGAATTTGGTAAGAGACTGAATCTTGGTATTAAACAAGCTCTTGAGCCAGTAAATGTTTCCGATTATGGTACGACTATTATTCAGCTTTTAGAAGTGGATAACAGGAAAAAGGACCTCTTGTATCCATCAAGGTATTGTTTGTCATTTAGTTTTTTATCCATTTATGTGCATCATCCATCAAAAACATTCCTTTGGTTTTACTGGTTTTAATGTTTTGACTCATTACAGTTACTTTTACCCAGTCCTCCCATCTCTCCTTGGGTACTGTACTCCTGGCCCGATCTATCTCCCTGAACTCCAGGGGGCTGTGGCCTCCTAAACACCAGACCCTGGTGATGCCAAAGCACCACTGCAGCTGCCCGGGAGAGTCCCCATCCACCTCTGAGCCCAGCTGTAATTCTCCATGCCACCTCTCATCTATGTGTTCATGTATCTGTCTGACGCACCAACTTCTTGCTGGTTTATGCTTGCTTTTATGGCCTCTAAATCTGCAAGTTTTCTGTTTTGTGCAGGAGTCGTCCTCCAGTGAAATTCAGTGACCCTTGGTTAATTGTGGGCTAATGGTTTAGTGTTTTCAGGGAGCCTTGAAATTTATGTTTACTATATAATGACCCATGTGTGTTTGTAACAGTAATAGAGGCTTTTAAATCTGACCTAAAATGTGATCCTGTTAATTTTGTGGGCCACAGCAACCATTATTACTTCGTTAAATCCATGCAGACTGATATTATTGCAGTATTTTCTTGTTTTTTTTGTTTGTTTGTTTTAAGCTGGGTGTATTAGTGGGCTCTTGTTG